GTGAGCTGCTCATCCCAGACAAGTAATGTATGTTCTCCAATTTAGCTGGTCTTAAAAAAAATGTCTTTCCAGTTTTGAATTTTGAAATGTCCATTTTAAAAAAAAGTTTCCAGGAGTTATGTAAGTTATGTATAATATTTGCAATGCTATAAAAAACATAAAAATAAAAACAACCTAACAACCGCTCCAAAAGAACCAGCAGACCCAAACAGTGAAGTTTTTCTTCAGCTTGGATTCCTGTCGTCTTTATTTTATTTCCTCCCCCCTCTTTCTGATCTTAAGTGCACTTTAGTTCTCAGGAGAGAGGACTCCCCACTTCCACAGCCTTTTCAGCGGGAGCTGCAGTGCGTGACAGTTTACAGCCAAAAAACTTCCTCCAGCCGAACAGCTATAAAGATTCCCGATTTATAGCAATACTTTCCCTCTTGCATGGGAAGATTAGTAGCCTTCAGCTGTTACTTCGTGTTCAGAAGGCTTGTCCGTCATTCCCTACATTATTCCCCGGGACACCACAAATCCCCAGACACCTTCCCAGCGGGAACCAACCCGTCCCTGCGGTCCCAGGATACCAGCTGCCCCTCTGCAGCTTCAACCGCCTGAGGATGCCGTGCGAAAATTTCATCGTGTTTAAGTATTAGAAGTATTTGTTTAAACACCTTTCAGCTTGCAGTTCTGGGGAGGACACGCGCGATTAACGCCATATTTGGTGCCAGTTACGTGTCCCTCCTGTCCCATTCCCCCGCTCCGCCACTTCCCGTGGCCACCCTGGGCAGCAGCGCTGGGCTGGGCCAGCCCCCATTGAGCCCGGGGATGAAACCCACCTTCCAAAGGGCAAAACTTCTCACTTCTAATTCGCTGAAGAGCAAACACCTGCCTTCCCACCACCTGGGGTTTTCCCCCTTTTTCCCCTTAAGGAAAATGAACATTTATCATTATATCTATAACTGAGATGTACATTGCTACTTGTCAGCTGCTTTTTCCTGGACACTGGGGAGGAATGTCCTACTGATACTACTATTGAGGCATTCATGTGCATGTAAATGTCATTTTCCTGGGAAGGTTCTGGATCTTGCTTAACCTGACATATAATTTTTCTTATATATAAGATTTACACAAAACCTAAAGATTGTGTTGGAAAAGCTCCTTATAAGAACTCATTGCTTTGTAATCCCAGCTTGCTAACTTATACTTACATAGGACAGGATAGCCTGTGGAAAACATAGCAGTTTTGTCCATATTAATGTGGGTATTAAGATCCTGGGATAAGTACGTTTCAGGATCTCCACTTTTAGTATTTAATAGAACTTATATTCTCCACAGGTTTAGCAAACACGTTTTTGAAAAATATTTTCTTTTTCAAGTAGTCTGAGCAGAGCACAGCCTGTTGATGTTGGTTTGTTTTGCTTTCCCCCTTCAGTATTTGGGAGGGCAAGGCAAAGGCAGAGTGCCATCCTGCATTTTTGGAAGGTGGCAAAACTCCCGTTGACTTAGTCAGATCTTTGCTTGAGTACTGCTAAGTGCCCTCTCCAGCTCAAATGCTCAGAGCCTGAGGTTTCCCTCATGAAAGTCAATGACCAAACTTCCAGTGACTTCTGTGCCTGTTGCACTAGATGGCATCAACTGGGGAAAACCAACAAAATAAACTGGCGCTCCCATGAAAGTCCTTAAGAGAGCGTCTGGCAGAAAGATAAGTGAAATCAGCAAATGTGGGAGTAGAATATCTTGACCTAGAATATCTTTTTCAATATCTTAGCAATATTGTTTAGATGACTAGAGCTATTTAAACCAAGTTTTCCTGTGTGAACTAGTGGGAACAAGGAGATGACACAAAAAGCCACTCACCACTCTTAACAGGCTGTTTCATTGAAAGCTGCAAAGAGGGACAGGCACAACAGGGACTGCAGGGGATGTAGAGAGAAGTAGTAGAATAATAGATACTGCATTATCCTGGCCTAAAGGGTAAATTTAAAAAACTCCAACCAAGCAAAAACTAGAACAATAAAACAAAACAAAACCAAAATAAACAAACCAACCAAAAAACCAAAACAAAACAAGGCCAGAAAAAAAACCCCAAATATACAAACAAAACAAAACAAACCTAACCAAAAGGAAAAAAACCCACCAAAAACCCGCCAAAAACCCAATAAACCACCTGACCCCACACTGAAAACATATTCTGCTTCAAACAGGGACCCTAGGAATCTGAGGACAGAAAGTAGTAGTGTTGTTGTCCAGCAGGAGTTCTTTTGGGAGACCCTACCATAAACAACACCTTTTCTTATACTTCAATCCATATAGTTCCCAAAGGTCACTAATGTAAACTCAGCTTTCCTTGCTGAGATATGCTGGAGGAGGTTAAAAAGGTAATGTTCAGGTCTTAAGTACAAAAGTCCTCAGATTTGCTGTCATTAATCACCAAAACAGACTTTTACTGGAAATATTCATCTTTTCCCTAAGCATATGCCTCTCTTTATAAAAGTATGCTAAGCATCAAACTGTCTTTCACAATTCTTTTAATATCAATAAAAGATTTGAGGAATTTGGAAATCTATAATTTCTTCCTCTACTTTGAATATTTCATGAAGATTACTGTAAGGCTTAAGACAAACTGGTGCTTCATGGCTAGACAATCTTAACACCTCTACATAAAGAGATATAAGTCCTAATCTGTAACTGCAGAATTTTTAAAACCAAATAAATCTCTTTTCCATTGTTTTGTGAGAGTTTTTCTTCCTCCTTCACTGTTAAGTGGTTTTTTTCCTTCTTCTCACTAGTACATAGGAAAGGCAAATACACAGTGTTAATGAGCACTATTTTGTATTTTATAAGTAAGGATAAGATTTTCAGTATTCATCTGTCAGTTTTGTCTAAATCTAGATTATCTCATGCTTTGGAATTAGTAATTGCCTTGAATATGGCCTCAAAGCTTACAGCCCTTCCTGAACTCTTTGGGCTAAGATTATTTCCTGATTTCTTGCTCTAACTCCCTCATCCATACAAAATAAAAGGATTTAAGGATTTGGACAGCTTCAGCAATGAGGGGTTACTGAAAACAGATTCTCTGCCTCTCATCAGCAAGGAAGCTCTCAGATAGAAAACTGTTTTCTTTATCTCATTTGAGATAACCTCCACTGACTGACACCAACAATTTTGTATAACTGATGTTGTTTTCATCATGTTGGTGGAGCAAATTCAGAGGAAAGGACAGAAACTTAACTAAGTCTGAGTTAAGTCATCTTAAGTCATCTTGAATTCACATGTAGCATGCTCTTACATTAACTGAGCCACTTTCTAGGTCTTTCGACTGTACCCTTTCTTACACTGTTCTGAACACAATTTATTTCTCCCAAGTTGTATATGACATACCTCTGTTCTCTATACCTAACTTTTCATCCTACCCACACTCACTTCACCAACAAGGTCGTCTCCACATCTAACTATTTTCATATTATTACTTTTAAGAAAGTGAAATATTCACAAATTGATCAAGCCACCACCATATTTCCCTGCTAATCTTTTTCCCATTATGTGCACAGCATGTATGTTGTGCACCATTCTCACTCCCAATGCCCTGGGAAAGTACCACTCACCATGCTGGACAGATCTGTTCAGAGGGAAAATGTATGGGAGAAGGACCCCACAGAGCAGACAAACAGGACAGTCAAACCAACGACAAGTTAAATTAAATTTAAATCTAGACAAGAAATAAATATGTGAGGCAATGCTCACTGGAAAGTGGTAATTGCAGAGAAATCAGAAGCTGCTGACACCACAGCTCCTTAAACTCCTGTTGGTCTTCTCAGAGAGACAATGGGCAAAACTAATGCCAGCTTTTGCCTGGCACACAGGGCTCAGACCTGGAGAGCACCTTCTGGTGCTTGTGGTGCTCTTCTTGTGGCTCCATGAGGAATGTAGAATATTTTGCTAACTTCAGCCTTTTTGCACTGAACAGATCCATCAAACTCTGACAAACTCAAATGTTCCTTATGGTTTCCTGGTTTGAATTCAGCCAAGGTTAACTGAGTCTTGGCCACTTCTCTCGGCCTTATGCCACCTAACAGGTTTAGATATGGGAAAATGATTGATATAATGTACAGCACAAATGTTTTAATGACAGGAGAGCTGATTCTTGGTTCTACTGACTCACTGTCTCACTTCAGGCAAGTCTTCAGGATCTCGTTTTAGCAACCTTCAGAGTGAAAATATTACACAGAAAGTTTAATTGCTAATATCCCAGCCTTATTTTCTCTAGAACTATTTTTAATGTAAGCAACCATCCAATAGGCTAATAATACATAATGAAGAGTAATTACATGTCAAAACAAAAGTTCACAACCTTTGATGTCTGGTAATGCAAATTCAGTTTGATTTTCTAACAGGGCTGAATTTTTCCTGCAGGATGTTTCTGGAGCACTGGTGTTTATATAAGTGCTCATTTTAGTACACTTAGTTCCAGCATGCTGCAGACATTGGTTCATTTTGCACATTAAATTTGTTAAAAAATCCAAAACAAACAACACCAAAAAACCACAAAACCCCACACCAACAAAAGGACAAACATCAAAGAACCTCCAAACCAGTAAAAAAGGAATCATGTAAGCCCTATCTTTTTATCTAGCAATCCATGCTGTCAGTACCACATGCAGGTACAACAGAGATGATGAATAAGGAGGAAATTACAAATGTGTGGAGACCACAACATGTAAAACCACCACTGCCTGTGCCATAGGAGGCAGTGCCAGGAATGCCCTGGGGACAATACAGAAATGTGAGTTCCTCCATTCAGTTGTGGACTTTCCATTTACATCCCTGCTAATGTAGTACATTAATAAACTTGCAGACACATTGCAAACATTCATTTACCTTCTTCAGCTTTTTTTTTAAACAAGCTGAATTAAAACAAATTAAAACCAATCTCAGTCATGTTATATTTATTCTTTTATACAAGTAAAAAACATTACTAATTGAAGTCTTCTACAATTCATCCTTAGACAGCTTGTTATTTGCATTTAACATTGGCTTTGTAAAAAAAAAAAATTTAAAGAAACCAGAAGGAAGATTTCAATATTGTCCAAATCAGTAAATTCAGGTGCATTTAGTTTCAAGAATCTTGTGGCAGATGCCATGTATCCCCAAGAATTAATTTCCCGTTTCTGTCTGTCCAGATGTCAAGGACAGGGTCAATCTAAGAAGTAGAAAAATAACTTCAAGGCACCTTTTCTTAGGAAGAAAACACTTCAAGCCATAATACATTGACAGCTTTGATAAAAATAGTATTTCATTAAATACTTTATCCTTGGCAGATGTCTTGTCTCACACATTAAGTTGTCTACACTTGTAGTAAACATATTTCCATTAGAAAAGAAACTGCTGTGATGCATTGAAAAGTCTTTGCCACATTTTACATCTAGAAATACAAGATTACAGTGCACAACACTAGCACAATATTAAGTAAATTAGTCAAGTTTACATTTCTAATAAAGAAATTGCAAAACCCACAAACTCATTTTATTAATAAACCCTTAATGCTAAAAAAGTTCTTAAGTTTCAGCCAGTTTCTACAGATTTTACCTCAGAAATATTTCTATTGAAAGCATGGGATTTTTTTTTTCACGAGTAATATACACATGAATAAAACTGAACAAAGTATGACTATGTTCCCAGTTCTTAAAATTTTTGTTCTTAGATCAATGACTGGAAGCTGAAAACTCTTGTATTTACAAGGCTGGGTAAAGACTTCTGACCCTATTTTATTATTGTTTATATGTTTAACTTTTTTTGCCTTTGTACCCTGAGTGGCAGTGAAAAAGAAGTGTAACTTGATAGAGTGTACACATTACAAGCCTTCCTTTCAGAAAAGAAAGGATTGGAATTAACCTAGTGTCCAAAATTCTTGCTTTATTCCTGACTTTCTTTTTAAAGCCATTGCTCTGCCACAAGGAGGTTTTGGCAAAACACTTATTTTGGGAAGGGGGAAGGAGATAGAGAAGTAGGGGGAGGAACCTAAAAATCACCTTTTGGCCATCTCAAGTCTGCCTGGAAGCTCAATATGATGCAATTAATGAACAGCAATCCTCCACCTTCAGTGCTTCCTTGTCTTGCTCGAGACAGATGTGCTGACAGCATGGCACCTTCTTTAAAGGAGCTCAGTTTTATGGAAGCTGATCTCTCAGCAAGGCACAAGTGGCTACAAGCTTTTGACTGCCCCATGTATTTTCAAGCAAAATCACCATGTTTCACACCAAATATTCAGAAACAATATCAGAGGTGAAAATTGTTTCTATCCAGGGTTCAGCAAATGCCTCGTTTTTTTTTTTTTTTTTTTTTTTTTTTCCCAGAGTATTTTTGAATGTCCATGCATCTTAGCATTTTCTTTGGTTGTCTTGGAAAACACTCTTATAGACAAATGTATCTTGCTTGCAAGCTTTTTTCTCCTATGGGGTACGCATTTTACTCTGCTAAGCTTTAACCCCATTCCTTCTAGGCATATCCTGATATACAGCCTCAAACCAGTTCTTTCCCTTCATGCTTTTACATCTTACAAGAGATAAAATGCCACTCTCTCCTCAATTATATCCAAACTCAAAAAAGAAAAATAACTCAAAATTCAGCCTGACTGCCTACAATTAAACACCTAAATAAGTTACCTGTTAATCAGGGGTGCTAAATATGTCCAATTCCCACCAAAGTCAAGAACTGTAGAAAACCAGGATAATTCATCCCCCACAAACTCTATTTCCCACCTGCCCTCAGACACAGAAAGCATATTCTCAGCTTTACTAACCAAACTCATTGTGATATGATCAATGACACTGGATAAAGAAATTTTAAGCAGAAATTAAGTTACTGAATTGGATGCTAATGCCTAAGTTTCTCCACAGAATTTTTATGCATTTTTAGCTTAAACATTCCAGTAAAAAAAACCCCAAGAATATAGAAGAAAACAACTAAATACACAGAATTCCAGATTTCCTTTCAAGAGGAAGCACAGCTCCAGGAAGCCTTATGGATATCAACCAGCTGTCCTGAAGGACAGAGAAGACAACTGCTCATTCTTCAGAGCCTTGCAAAAACAATCTGAAGGATGCAAAGAGAATAAAATCTTACCCTTGAGTCTTTCTCCCAAAAAAATTAGTTTTCCTAATACTGTCAATGTTCTGACTCAAAGAAATACCAGAGGAAAACAGTGATCCCTAACATATTTAAAGTGTTGGTGGAGATAAGTTTTGTCTCTTTATAAAAAATTGGATTAAACTTCAAGCTGATTCAAAAGCATGATTCAAAACAAGAGCCACAGTTTTAAAATATTTTTCAAAAAAGACAAAATTGTCTATAAATTATCTCAGAGTTAACAAAGCATTGTGAAATTCTACAGAAACCAATTATTTATAAAGAATGCCATGAACTATTAGAAGTGATGTTTCAACAGCCTCAGACCAACTAATACATTATTTGAACAGAAATACTGAATAGTAACTGGACAGTAATGGACAGGAAGATGTTTTCAATTGATATATTTGAGGTCCCTCAATTGAGAAACTTTGATACTAAATCCCAAATACTTCTAATTACATTCATGTCAGTGCTTTTTTACTAGGCTTCCAAGTAAAAATCCTGAAGTGGCTGCAGGAGCTCTATCTTCCCTTCTACTTGTAGCTGAAGAGCTCTGTGCACAGCACCAGAGAAACTCCTGTCACTGGAAGTCCTCAGCTGAAAGGTGAGACTCTGCTTCAAGAGAACAAACTCATGGTGACCTCAGGAAGGGAAAAGCAATTGCCCACTTCATATCTCTTTTGAAATTGCTTTCTTCACTCTACATAAACTAAAAATTCTAGAACACTTCACAGAAAAAAGGAAATTATTCTTACAGGATGCTGGAAACTTCTCATGGAAAACTGGCTGAAGATCTTGTATAAAAAGGTTGTTAGCAGAAATATGCTAATCTGGAAAGGGATGCTGGCTTAGCAATATGCTTCAAAATAAATTAATCACACTTAACATCTCTTCTGCCTTTCCCCATCAGCTAGTTATAAAGAGATAAGCAAAAGAAACCTATTTGAGAATGCTTTCACTCTAAAGGAACATGGGTAATAGGTAGCTTAAGAGTTTTGCCCAAAGAACAACTATGGTAATTTAACAGTATTTCTCTTGACAGAAGTGTCCAGATTAAAGGCTAAAACCACATATTTGCAGTTGCTATTCATTCAAGCATCTCACAGGAAGAATGCTAAGATTCAAATATTCAAGGCCTGAAAGTAGCAGTAATTGGTAAAGAAAGCAGAGATTCATTTGAGAGTCAATGCAACCTATGAGAGTTATAAGAATTACAATAATTCAAGAATCACCCACAAGTATGTGGAGCTTTTTATTTGTATTGCTTAACAGAGGTTGGCAATTTCTATGTGTTTTGCTTTGGAACATAATTTGAAACAATTATTTGGGTTTGGCACTTACTGATATACCAGCAATTAACAAGTTGTTGAAAACATCACAATCTTCTGAAGACCATATTGATCATTGGGGTATCTTCCTGGCCTTTATACTACCTGCTTTTCCTTATATTTTAACTCAGCTTCAGATGTATGCAGATAATAAAAATATGCCTTTATTTGACTCTATTTAACTTACCATTGTCAGTTCTAAATTTTTTTGTTACATTTGAGGAGTTGTTCAGCAGGAAATCAGTCCAGCAACAACAAAATTAAAAATCCTAACTCTTTCTTTAGGGTGTTATCCTCAAAGTCCTCAGATATTTCTCAAATCCCTAATTATGTATTTCTTTTCTTATACCCTAAAACAACTGCTTGTCCTGTGCCAACCTAGGGTTCCAGGATCTTGCAGGGGGAACCTGCCCAACAATTTAATTTCTGACCTATATGCAGGAAGAGGATCCCTTTTGGGGAGCAGCAGAAACCACAGTTCAGGCAGAGTGGTTTTAGGTTGCCCCTACAGTAAAAACTGTTAAGGTGCCATTTCAGCCTAATGGGGCTGCTGTGCATTCACACAGTCCTACTGAAATGCCCTCCTCATTAAATGGGTTATTCAGAAGCCAACCTCTGCACTGACTTCACTTTCTAAATATTTTAGATTCAATGTCAGGGTCAAAATATAGCTCCTGAATGGCTTCAGGATGGCAGAGTACCTGGTGATCGCTAGGATGTATGCAGTCATGCAAGGAAAGGGGAATCAGTAGATGAAGACCTGGTTATCTAGTCAGGTTTCTTTGCAATGCAAGGTCTCTTCCTTTTACACTAGTGTACTGTAAATTGCCAGGGAATTGCCGGCAAGGATAACAGTATTTTGTCACAGTTGTGATTAAGAGACTGAATCTTTAGTGCCCCTTTAAATTGCCTCTCCTGTTGTCCTAATTCAAATAGAATTTCATTGTTTTCAATGCATGAGAGGCAAATTCTGAGGGAAACAATAGCAAATTTCACTTCTGTCCCAGAGAGGCGAGGAAACAAACTGCAGAAGTGAACTTCTAGAGAAATTATTTTACTGCCTATTAGTGTCTGCCAGTTCTCATAGATCCATCAGGACGCATGAGAATTCGCCTATAAATTAATTTATGTGCTGTGCTGCAGTGCAGCACTTTAGTTTTTTGATCTTTGATATAGGGATAACAAATTTATATAATAAATAGCACCTTCAGCTTCCTCAGCACTGCCATGCAATCTAAGCTGGACTGGCTTGACTGTTGCTTGTTCTGTTGCAGTTTTAGGTAACATGATTATCTCAAGCATAGCCTGGAAGCAGGCAGGACTTTTGAAGAACATGATTAGAAATTAAAAGGGCTTCATTTCCAATTCTACTTTTCTTTATGTCCTGGATTCAGCAGGGATAGAGGTAATTTTTAAATAGGTAAGAACAGACACAGCACTTTGTAAGCATTTTCTCTTGGTTGCTTAAACTTGTTTTTGCAGTTGTGCTCCTAAGGAAAATATGGTGGTGGTCAAAATTGTTTTTTATGGTTTTGATGAAAAATTTGGCTTATGCCCTTCCAAAGCTGGGAAGATGATAACAGTGCTCTCTCTTCCTTTTCAAAGAGAATACAGCACTCTTACCCAGACCTCCTTCATGGTAGCAGGTTAAAACTATGGACCTGAGGCCTTGCTGCACTCTGCTACAGAAAGCTATAGTCCCTTGTTAAACATCTGTACACAGATTTGAAAATACATTTATTATTTCTATGTGTAAGAGCTCTCTGAAAACCTTATGAGGCAGCTTCATCCCACCTCCTTCACTTTCCTTTACATAAAGGTGTTTCTTAAAATGTTGTTAAACTTGTTGTGAAGGAAAGTTTTTAGTTTTGTACAGATCACCTACACAGCAATCTGTCATAGCTGCATGCAAGTTTCATGCTGTCTTTCTTGGAACTTGTGGATCTTCTTCTAAAGAAAAATGTGGCTGTGTTTATTGATACCATTTTCTTAAGGTGTATGATAGTTGCTTCTTTTCTCTGCTATCTTCTCGTACGCAGTCAGTGGGGCTCCAAATCTTCCATGTTTCCTCCCTGAAAAAGAAAAAAAAAAGAAAAAAAATAATTAAAAAGAAAGGGCTGAGCTCCTGCTGCACATCTCCAGAGCCCTGTGGGAACAAAGAGCCAGGAGGGATGGGAGGGAGGATGGAAAACCAGTGGGAACAGGCGGGAGACAGACAAGGCAGTGGGGGAAGGGACCACAGGGCAGTGGAGGAATGGGAGCAGAAAGGAGCCAGATCTGGTAGACTGAGGAGAAGCCCGGTAGGAGAAACTTCTTTGTTTGCAGGAGAGAACAAAGGGGAAGGGGAAATGATGGAAGAAGAAGAGCTGTCAGGTTAGAAGTTGCTCCTTGTTGTTCCTACTCACTCTCCGCCCTCACCCACAAAGGGGAAAACGAAAACACACAGAGGGAACTGATTTGCACGTGCAAACATGCTTCTTCTGCTCTGCTTGTGACAATTAACTGTCCCTTTTTCCTCTCTTTGTTTGGCACTTTGGACAAAAACAATTAGACACGAAATCGTGAAGTTGAAAATCTAATATGGCAAGGCTATAGGAAATACTGACTTCATTGATCTTGACACATTGATCTAAATGTAATTTGTCAGCAGGTCAGAAACACTGGTTTATCTTAGACACGGATGACTGCTGCACAGAAAACTAAGCTGACCAACAATGATATGATTTTGCTCTAAATCTGAAGTCTAAAACTTTTTTTTTTTTTTTTCTGAGAGATTTAGCAGGGAGAAGTTGGCATTAATGTCACAACTTTTGCATCGTTTGTATACAAAACTGCTTTGTTTTAGGTTAAAAACTCGTAGTGGAAACAATTTTTTTGTGGGAAGAAATGTCAAATCCCTGTGAGAAATTAATATATATATATTTACTTATCAAGCAGACCTTATCAGCAGTTCTTTCCTGTAGGACTGTTTTCCTCTTAACAATATTACAGCAGAGTAGTCAGCATTTCAATGTAATCTGCACTACAATGCCCTATGTTAATGCAGACAGATACTTCAAAACCAGAATAACATGTTAATTGTCCCTCCCATATAACTCTTGGGCCTAACAATTACTACCCACTTTTATTGGCAGTTAAGTGCAGAAATATACCTTTTAAAAATCTTATAACCTTTGTTCTGGATTTTAGGTGACTTACACAAAATGCTTCTTTAATAATTTCTTCTGTAGGATTCCATCTCTGTTGTGAACAGCATTTTTATTCCCTGACTTGTTGCCTGGATAGTGAGGCAAAGAAAAGGATAATTTCTTTTGCTACAATTTTTGCTTTATTTTGAATTTTATTTTAAGAGATTAGTAAAAACTGGAAAACTTTCTTGACTGGTCATGGATGATTTTTTTTCTCCCAGCTTTTTATCCACTATACTTGGAACTCTGAATCTGGTAGTTAGAAATGAAGCTATCTCGGGGGTTAAACTCTTCAGTTATAAAATTTGATTACACTTCAATTTCTTGATCAAATCTGAAAAAAAAAATAACCAAACAAAAAAAAAAACACCCATGGCTCAAAAGAGAACATTATCAAACTCAGGAAGATTCTTCCTGTGAACATGAATTACCAGAATAGCCATGGTCTTGCAAAACAGGCTGACCAATCCCATTTTTGTTCTTTTGTGAATACTCATTGCTGGCTTCACTTTTCACACATTTATTATTTCAGTTGGTCTGCTTTAAGGCATGCTTTGTTCTGTGTAAGAGAAACAAAATAAACAGCGATTTCTGGAAGTAAAAAATGAACTTGTCCTGTAGATTCATTTTGGTGCAGTGAAGTTACACTACCCTTACACACTCATCTCCATCCTGCTAGTGTGTTAAAACCAGGGTGTTTAAGCCTTAAACTCAATCTCTTTTCCAGTGTGATAAATACCCTCCAAAGTCTTGGCTTGCTTATGTAGCAGTGGCCACTAAACATGGGCTAGTAATACCTGCTGTGGGGCTTTACTTGCAGCAATTGGGGTGAGTTGCTGGCACTTTGACTTTATTTGTTCTTAAATGAACTGAGAGTTGGCCAGACAGTCCTCAGGCACCAAAAAGATGCTTTAGGTACTGGGCTACATTTACTTTGCAATTTAGAGCTGTAATGGGAAAAATATTTTTCCTGTCCCTTTCATGTTCTAAAGAGTGAGGGAACTGGTTTTTACATATGTTAAAGTTGGGGTTTTTATCTCACACAGCTTTCTTGTGCTTACATATTTTCTTCTCCATCACAAATTATTAACTTTCTATTTTTAAAACTCCTAGCTCTCAGTGGATATTTCTGGTTGAAAATAGTGGCTCATCTATGAGAGGTTTTTTTTTTCTTCTCCCCTAAAGTGTTCTCATCTCTCCCATTGCAAGAGTTGTGCTCTCTCATACAGCTGAAGGTATTGTCTCTGCTACAATGATCTGCTTATTTCCATGAGAGTGTAAAACAACCCACTCATGTATGAGGTATGAGGACTTCCATAAAATGAAACTGAAATATCATGTCTTGCAACATGCCAAGAACATGAATGTACTTCTAAATATGCTTATTTTTACTGTTTCCTGGAGAGGTGAATTTATTGGTTTGTACTTAGTTTTGTTGCTGGCACATACTGGTACATGGAGGGTCTTACACTTTTCCTTCCAATTTAGCTTTGATAAAAAATAAAGAAAAAAATCACTGGTATTGTGGTTTTCAGTAGTGGAAGTGTGTTAGCTCAAATGGAGAAACTCCAGTTTCATTACAGCAGTTTAAACTTTGAGTTGCAGCAATGTCAACCATTCTGAAAAATTACTTCAGAGATTTGCTGCAGAAAAAGAAGATAAAAGAGTGGAAAAATTCTTGTCTTCATATAAGGCAGGGATGATCATTAATACCACAAATTCCATGTATAGATAGTGTCTATCTGATGTATCTTTTGGGAAAGTAATAAAAAGGTAATTTCTTGCTTCTATATTTTAATAATTCCTGTCCAGTTTAGGAGATTTTTCTTTATTTCCTGATTAGTTCAATCAGTAAGTCCTGATTTGGCTACTTAAAGTTAAGAAACCAAACAAAATGTCACCATTATGCTGAAGAATTAGGCCATGTAAATTAATAGCATCAGTCAGTCCTGAAAAAGAGATATGTCATCATTGTAGTTACATCAGCTTATTTAAAAATACTTTAGTACTTTGCTACTTAACTAAGAAGGGAGAAAAATGCAGTATTTGCAAAAGTAAGCATTTTCACAGAATATGTATAATTTGAATTGGAAAAATCAATACAAAAAATAATCCAGTTTTAAGCCAAATCTGAGTCCCAGTACTACTGTTTGTTAAACCAGTCTAAATGTTAGGAGCCAAGTATAACACCTGCCTTGTAGCTGGATTCTACATAAGGATGGTGATTTCTGATGGGGCTTCATTGGCTGGACTGCACATCCTGTTTTATGTATGATGCAAGGAGGTGCCCCCAATGGTAAGTGGAGGATTCCTCAGTGAGTGTACCACAGGAGCATGGCTGATGTGGGGCCTGACAGAGGCACTCAGTGCTTTTCTTACCGTTTTTTGAGTTACAGCCCCTCTGAGTCAGAAGAACGCAGGTTAACTGAGCTGATCCAGAGTACTTGGTGTCCTTACAGCAAATGAAAATAACACTATCAAAGCCAAAAACATTAGTAATTTAGTGAGGGACTTTTTGAGTTTTCAAGTCAAAATGGAGTTTTCATATTGCCAGACTGAATATTGAGATTTATTTTTATTTTTTTATGAGACGAAAATATTTTACTCTTGGTTGGTTGGTTGATTGGTTGGTTGGTTGGGGGAGGAGGATTTGGTGGTTTTTTTTGTTTCGTGTGGGGTTTGGTGGTTTTGTTGTTGTTGTTTGTTTCTGGGGGGTTTTTTCTTGTTGTTTTGTTGTTGTTGCTTAGATTTTTGGGGTTTTTTTGGTTGGTTGGTTGGTTGGTTGGCTGGTTGGGGTTTTTTATTCAGGAAGGAGAATATATTTCAAAATTCATGAATTCTCATTTTCATCAGATTTACTCCTAATAAGATTCCAAAAACCTGTATTTTTTAAGTTCCTAGTACTACATTTTAGAGAAAAAAAATATTAATAACAATATGTGCATGCTCATATACAGCTGCAGAATTGAAGTCTTTGTATGTTGCTGCATTCAGACTTGAGTACCAAGACAAATCCAAATCACCCTTCAAATTAGACAAAGCTTCCAAACTTGGTTCAGGAGACTTATGGAACCAAACATGATTGTGTGGAATCAATGAGGAGAAGCAACATACCTGCACTGGATGCTTCAGAGCCATGTCCTGAACATTCAAATGTTTATTTCTTGTCAGGCTAAAATACTGGCACTGGATTTCTGCAAGACATTTAAAAAACACCTCTGAAAAGGCTCATATAAACAATTAATTTCATTGACCTAATTTAAATATTTACAGCAGAGTGCTATTTTTGCAATACAATTATATTAGATATACATTTTCTATTACATAATAAATTAATTTCCATCTCTTCTGGTTTTTAGATCATCTCTTCTCTAGTAGGACAACATCAAACCTTCCTGACCTCAAGCAAAGAAACTATTAGTAAAATATTTCTCAGGGCGCCTAAAGAAATTTATCTAAAAATGAGCTGTGAAAATTTTATTTACATGTACTTTTTTGTTCAAGGAAATTCAAAATTAATTTCTATTAAGGGTACCAAAGTCAGCACAAATGGCACAAATCCTTGGATGGTAAACATATGCCTTGCTCTGTTTGAAGAAATCTGGCTTCAAAATGACAAAGTTATAGACTTTTGAAAACATGCATCCTGGTTTGAACAGCAGGTTTTTTAACATCAGAAGCAAACACCAGGATGTGATGTTCTGAATATTCACTTTCAGTATATTTGAAAGCTCACACCTACTTGTATTTGAATGTGTGATTACTTTCAGTACTGCATTGTTCTGAACCAGTTACAAAAAGAAAAGGTCATTGGAGACCTTACTGTTTATAATAAATCATGTTTCTGCTTTCAGTCAGAGAATGAAGGAATATAGGCATTTTACTCACAGGAACTACTATTACTCTTGGAGACATAAACTTTAGATAGAGCTTCTTTAGATAGAGCAAGAAAGGCTATGATCTAGGAAATATGCTGATTCAAACCATTATGTGGACAAAATACACTCACATTTCTGTGACCTTGTTATCTTAATTTCTCAATTCAAAGAAAGCTTTGCATTCTTCGGAAGCTCTCTTGCAGTGCTCTCCCTGATGCTTCTTTCTGTTTTCCTCCTCACTTTCTCAGTGACACTTGTGCTGTCTTGGAAGCAAATAATCTGCCTTGGGATAAGAGGAAAAACAAAACTGAGTAACGAAAAACACCCTCCTTGCACCTTCCTAGCAGAATACTGAACACAGCTAAAGGACATCAAATACGGTCACAGTCACGGTACATGCTCAGAACTGAATGCATCTTTCAAGCTTTGGCTTGAAACTTCTGTTAGTTACTGGAACTATTCACCATCTTTTACCTAGACCATAGTTTTAGACTGAATTTTGGAATGAATAGGAAAGTACATTTCTGCCAGTTGGCATGGGGAGTGAGGTTCATGGCTAACTCAATTCTGAGTTCACCAGCCTGGAACCATCATAAGTGACAGAGGATAGCCTCGATAGAGAAGGTGAGACGCTTAAAGAAGGTGCTTAAAAATAGGTATGAAAAATGTTGTCAAAATTAGCTACTATTTTGTGTGTGCTTCCTGTACCAAAGTAACACATTTAATACCTCCATGCCTACTGCTAGTTAAGTGCACGGTATGAAGAAGCAATTGGAAGAATAAGGAAAATAAGTTAGTGAAAGAATAGTATTTAAAGCTTTTGTTTCTCAAGAAGAGCCATACATCCCTGAATTCAGTACGAATGACTTTTATCATAAGCCATTTGTGGGTTTTTACTGGTTTTGATATTCAGTAAAGTATTCGCTAAATAAAGGAAATATTTATTTGTTACTTTGTTCTATTTTATTTCTTGAAATAATGGTTTGTTAGTCAAATATCTGTCATTGATACACCAAAAAAATCACAAATTAATTTATTTAAACAAAATAGGCCTTTACTCTCAGATTTTCCCTTTGACTTTCAATTTATCTTTTTTAATAGTAAAGATTCAGAATTTCTTTTTATGGTGTCCTATAAAAATAAAAGCTTACTGCCTCTGGTTTTACTACAGTTCTGGACTCATACCTGAAAATTGGTATTTTGTAAAAGTCCTGATATAATTTTCTTGAAATGTTTATCTGTAGGTATTAGATATCATGAGATATTAAAGCCCATTTTCAAAGCCTAGAAGATCTAGAAAAAGGAAACTATTTTGATGGTTCATACTTGAGAATACAGTATTTCTAACCTGTAGGGTAACAAAAACATGAAATGTACATCCAAAAACTATTTAAAATTTAAAATTTAACTTTTAAATTTATTACTTTATGCTTGCTGCCAGTTTTCTTCAATAAAAGTCATGCAGAGCAGGGAGAGGTTGAAAACAGATGTGAACTCCTGCCCCTCTAATCTTCTGGGCAGATTTCCCAGTGACCTACCAGAAGCGCACATTTGCAAATAATTTTTAAAATAAGAATTTTGGTTAGAGTTAGCTCTCTACTGAAAAAGTGCATTTCTGCATACCAGGGCTGTTACAGTTCTCTCCCAGAATTAGAAATCTCCTGTTTTTCTGGAGGACTGAGAGTCTTTTGTCATAAAAACAAGTACTTCATTAGTGCTCAGGTATGGGAACAGGTTTTGTTTCACAGGGAAGAACACATGAGTCAGGGTAAATTTTAAATTATCTAAAATGAAGTCTCACTGTGATTTTGTCCTTGAGATCTTTAGAACACGTGACCATCAAAACACTGAGGCTGCTCTCTCTTAAGGAGCCAGCTGTATTCCTAAAGTTTTAAGTGAAGCTTAAGCAAGAAGTTTGCAAGGAGGTCCATCAGCTTTCTGAACAAGATTGGGGTTCTACAAGGAGAGGACTTTCTTTAACAACAACAAATACAAGTCACCGCTCTGATCCTCCAGCTCACATTCTTAGAACAAGATTCATTACAATTCTATTTTATTGCTCTTGTACTGGAAAAGGACTTTGAAATGGGAAATCAGTGATCTGGTCTTAAGGAAACTGGGATTTTCTTTATGTCGATGTGGATCTCTGTCCATTAGGCCTTTTGGTCCAACAGAAATGTATTCATTCATGTAACACAGAACACGAAACAAATAAATTTATAACCTTCCTTTGCCAAAATTTGTTGTTATACATGGTGAAATAAATCTGAAGCTGAATCAGCTTTTCAAGCACCTACTATCTGGCCTCTTTATTTTTTTGAGCACATGGTTAACATGAGAGTGCTAGTGTCAGTTATTTTAACAATTTTTAATATTTGGGACTTTTGCCCCCATTATTTTGGTAGTAAACAGTTGGAAATAACACCCTGGCATCATTTTTGCAAATGGAGAAACAAAACCAAATACTTGTAAATCAAAATTTAGTATAATAATATCTTCTAAATTTTTACATAAATCTGTTAAATAGTGGAGCTACTTGCTCTTTGAGATAGAAAAGTTCGGAAGACCTGAATATATCTTAATACAATATTAAATATCTTCATACATAATAACAGTAATCGACCTCCTGGACAATGCCATAGTAAGAATGCAAATAAAAAAGGTGCCTTCAGTAGGTAAAAAACCAAAAAATAGACACTGGGACTTTTATAAACTGAGCTAACCCAAAGGAAATTTCATATTTAAATCAGGAGGTAAACATTGTCCGTATAACTGTGTAACACTGGACATTTAATGACCTCCTGAAATTCCTATTCACTTAATTAATTTGATGAAGCATTGCACTCAGAAATGCTACAACAAAAAAAAATCCACATCAAAATCTTTGGTTTAATTGCAGTTTTTTACCATATTGGAATAGCTGTAGAAAGATGTAATTTTCTATATAAAATATAATTTTTATATTACGTATCTGAAAATAGATAGCATTTAACTTCCCCTATTCTGCTGACTAGTCCAGAAAGCAAACATGACTTGTCACTGTCTGCTTTTCATTATTTTTCTCTGTGACAGCATCCTTCATGCATGAAATGTATATTTACAATGAATAAACAAATTGTCATTAATGACTTTGAGTAGCAATTTTTAATCTCAACAGTCTTTAATTTTTATATATATGTATGATGGCAAATTCATTGAGGTCTTAATTTTGTTTTTCTGTGTGAATTCAGGAGGTTGAATTATTTGCCTGCCTCTTCAAGGAAGCAAATCTAGCAAAAAAAAAAATATTTCTAATGAGAGTTATTTGATCTCTAGAATTCCTGAGTGACTTCAGGACTAAGGCTCTGGAGCTAAGCTTCACAAGATTTTAGGAATCTTTCTTAATGTAGGGTCCACTTTCAATTTATAAAATACTGGTGGGGGTGACTTGTTCTAAATCACTTTCAGCATTCTGTGTTCCACTAGAGACCCAAGCAATGGGTAGGACTGCACAGCAACAGGGGCCATATGCTTGGTGGGCTGCTCAGCTGCACATTTTGGAAAGCAACTGATACAGCAGTGTGGGGGATGCTTTCTTCTGTCCCATACATAGCACTAACTACAAGTTACAGTGAACTAAACTCCTGAAACAGCAAATGAAATCAGACAGAACATTGTAGCTTGGTGACATCTTTGGAAACAATCTGAGAAACCAGTAGTCTGATACATGTAAAATAATGATTAAGAACAGATGTGACATCCTTTGGCACTGACCCCCCAGTATGCCTGTGCCTACGCGGAGTCCTGGGGACTTTGGTGATTTATTTATGCAGAGCTCCTTGCAGAGCCTGGTAGAAAAAAATACCTGCTATGAAGAACGACAGTAAGGGAAAGTGCAGCTTAGCTTTCATCTAGAACATCTGTCCTCAGGACTTATGAAGTTGTATTTGTTAAGTGGCACACCATAGCCTCCTGTAGCACCTACAGATTTAAGTACATTCAGTACATACATACATATGTACTCTGGTTATATGTCAATCTGCTCATGTGCACCATGTCTTTGGCTGACTGGGATTTAAAGAGTAAATGCTCCCATACCTGCTTAACTGGAATAATTGTCCCTTTGAATCCAAATTAACAATTTTTTAAAGGATCACCAAAATCCTCCCACACTTAGTGAAATTATTTTGGTGTCTGTAGTAACAGAGCATGCTCACATTTACTAGAAACTCCTCTGCTTTTTCATAATTTAGTCCTTTAATTCTCCGGAAAAAAAACCAAACCAAACCAAACCAACCAAAAAAAAAAAAACCACAAAAAACCCAAAAAACAAAACAAAAAACCCCAAAACAAAACACAACAAAAAAACCCCCAAAACCCCAAAACCAAAAACCTAATGTGGAGAAGACCAGAGTTCCTGGGAATAGCTCACTCCTGCAGTCAATTTGCCTAATTGATTAGAAGCCTGATTGCAGCTGCGAAGGAGAGGATAACCGGGGAGCTGTGCATACACAGAGGTGCGGAGTTTGCGTGGCGGCTTCACAGAAATGCGGGCTCCTGCTCTGAGAAATCATTTCCCACCATCCATTTTCTGGATCGGCACCCATGTCCATCTCCGGGTGTCCCCGAGCACAAACTTGCCTGGCTGAGAGAGGGGCCCCTGCAGGGAGGCTCTCCAGCGGCAGAAATCTTGTTTTGCCCACCCGAACGCTCCCCACCCACAATCAGCCAGGGCTTTGCTTCTGTTTCCTGATCTATCTCTGCTCTGAGCGAGGACCAGAAATGCCCGAGTGACAGCAGCCCGAGGCCTGGCCCTGCAGCGGCTGCATAGTTCCCTAATCCCCTCTCTCAGGATGCTGCCCTGGTACTTCCCAGTACAGTAACCCAACCTCTTGTCTGGGCTTTTTCAGCTTGGCTTCATTATTACTACCATGATAAAGACTAGCTTTTGTTTTTGACTTCCCTTTTCAAGTTTCTACACGCTTTTGACTTTTCTTGTCCCTTAACTTGTAGGATTTACTGATGCTCATGTTGCTAGGACTGAAAGGTACCAAAAGAATAACATATGTATTTCTGGAGCCCTTTATGAAAAGTTCTCTCGCTGATCCAGACATGACAGAACTCAGGTCTACTTCCCTGAGAGCAGCATGATTTCAGTCATGGTTCACCTGGGGGTGGTTTACAGAGATTCTCCTTTATGTGAGTACAACAAAAAGCAGTCAGCTAAGGAGGGCATCACAGCCATCATCAAAACTCAGTGTACAAAGGAGAGCTATGACAGGGACTTGGATTTGCTGACATTTG